AGGGGGGGAAAAAAAAAGGGGGGCGAAACGAGACAGAATAAAAGGGAAACACCAAAAGACGGAAAGAGGGAGAAAAGAGAGGGGGGAGGACGCAAAAAGAAAAAAAAGAAAAAAACGGGGAGGGGCGAGGAAGGGAAAAAAGGGAGGGAAAAGGGGGGGAAAGGGAAGGAATGCGAAGGGAAAGAGGGTAAAAAGGAGGGGCAAAGAAAGAGAACGAAAAAGCGGGAAGGGGATAGCAAAGAAAGCCCAGGGGAGAGAAAGGGACAAATGGACAAAAAGGGTGTACTCCACCTGCCGACAGGGAAGGCGCGCCGCCGCCCTCGGGAGCCCTCTGGTTGACCAAATCCGCTGCAGGAGCCCCCTCGGAGCCTTGGCTGGCCCTTCCCTCACTGTCGCTCTCGCACGCCCACTCGGAGGCCTCGGCTGGCTCGGCGCGCCTCGCCGGCGGCGGCGGCGGCGGCGGAGGAGGAGGAGGAGGCAGCGGCGGCGGGGCGGCGGAGCGGCCGGGCGACTGATCAAGCCCGGAGGGCCCGACGTCGATGTCGATGACGCTGAAGCCGGCGTCCGAAGCGCCAGCGGCGGGGCGGGCGGCGGCGGACGAGGCGGCGGACGAGGCGGAGGCGGAAGGCGGAAGAGGGCGTGCGGCGTGCGTCTGCGCGGAGGAGCAAGTGGCGGCGGCGGCGGTGGAAGTGGCGGCGGCGGCGGTGGAAGTGGCGGCGGCGGAGGAGGTGGCGGGGGCGACGACGGAGGATACCGCGGGAGAGGTTGGGGCGGGAGCGGCGGCGGCGGACGCCACAGAGCAAACGGCGGGGCTGGAGGCGGAGGGAGGGGCGGCGGCGGAATCGGCGGAATCGGCGGCGGCGGACGCAGGAGGGGGAAAGGGCGGCGACTGGGGCGTGTGCAGCTGCCGGAAGGCATCGACGAGGGGCGGGTGGAGCCAGCAGCCCTCGCCTAGGTATTACTCGATGGTTCATGACTAGCTCATTAAGAAAGAGGTGCGGGCCAGCTGCGGCCCTCGCCTATCCAACGTGCCACAGAGACTTTGTGGAAAGTGTCGTGCGCGGGCGCCGCCGCCGCCCAACTATCACACTCACCATGCTGCAGCTGGCAGCCACGCACGACCTAGGTCAGGTGAGGTGGGCTGAAGCTCCTCCACACACACACGCGTGCTGCAGCGCGCAACAACAAAAGAAACCTCGTCAAAGCAGGTGTCGACTGTGATGTGGAAGGCGGCCGCCTTGCGGCGCACCTTTGGGAGAGTTGGGGGGGGGGGGGGGGGGCGAAGAGGGTGGAGGGACGGTGCTCGTGGAGAGTGTGAGGTGAGGGTGCGTGCGTGTGCGCGCGCGCGTGTGTGTGTGTGTGTGAGTGCGTGTGTGGTGTGCGTGTGTGTGTGTGGTGTGTGTGTGGTGTGTTGGGGTCTGGAGAGCGGCTGCCTTGCGCGAGATGTGCAGCTGCTCAAAGTCGAGCATCACGCAGCGCTGCGCGTGCAGCTTGGGCAGCAGGACGCACTGCCCACCAAAGGCGAGCTCCGCCATCGGAAGGAAGCCGCTGGTAGAGCGGGGGCGGCAGTGGCACTGTGTGAGGGGCGCGCCAGCGGGTGCGTGCGGCGGTTGGTGGCGCGGACAGTGGGCTGCATTCTCGGTGCGTGTGCGGTGCTGACCGCGGCGGTGCTGCTCGGGCCGAAGGGCCGCCCTCTGTGTGAGTACGGCGTGGCGGGCGCGGCGGGCGCCTGTAGCAGAGTTCCGCCACAAATTCTGGCGACAGGTTATGCGACCAGCAAAACTCGCCGGGCATCTGCTCGAGCAGGTGGATGGACTTGACCGTGCCCGACGGGATGAAGGTGAGCCGCCGCATCCAAGGGTTGTTTTTGAGGATCTTGCGGCACTCCTCGTCCTCATGCAGCGCCCGCTCGAGGCACTGGCGACGGGGCGGGCCAGGGCGTCGGCGGGAGAGGATTGCACGGCGGCGCAAGGGGGACAGGGATCAACGGAACGGGAGCGCCTGGCCCATTGTCTCGCGGCCGCGTCGAGATGCACCGCGATCGATGCCCCGATGGCTGGCATTCAGAATTTTACAACAAAACTCCCTCGCACAACACTGGGCACAGGACTGGGCACGGGACTGGCTCGCACTGGCACTAACACAGGTACACCATTCAGAAAGGAAAAACGCGCGGGCCCCAGCGGAGCTGGGAATAGGACCGCCGCAAGCGGCGTGGCGTGGAGCGGTTGAGCATCCCTCCGGGGGCCCCTCTGCGCCGGGGAGGCGTTGTTGGAGGCTACGACGCAAGCGTCCGTCGCCCTTTTCAAACTCGGGGCCCACTCCGCTACGCTCCGACCCGAATTTGGAGGGCCTAAAAGTTTAAGGTGTTGCTGCGCAAAAGGGGTCGGACACAGGGCGCAGCTCATGCTAAGAGCTAGAAGGGGAGCTAGAGAGAACGACTACCCTGTCCCGTTATTGCGTACACCAACACCACAAAAGCTCTCTGTCTCTCTCTCCTGTCCTCACAAAGACCGTCATGGGAGCGCGTGTGCGGCAGCAGGCGGGGGTGCCACACGGAGCGCACCACGAGAGGATTATGCGGGGAGAGGCGGGGAAAGAGACCCCGGGCGCCGCCACAAGGAGCGAACTCAGGGGCTGCCTCGTCTGTAAAGCCGCGAGGGACGCGGCGAGGAGGGCGGCACTAAAGCGAGACCCGCTGTGTCCGATCGTGCGGAAAGCCGCGCAGCAATGGACCGAGGAAGATGAGAACCCGCCTAGAGCGACGATGGCGCACTTGCTTAGCGGCGCCTGCCTGGGGAATAGGGAGCAGGCCAGATGGTTCCTCAGAGTAGCGCGAGCGCAGACGGGGACGGCGATCAGCAAAGTAGCCCAGGCGGCACCCGACTCCAAGGATACGCTGAAGACGCTGAGGATAGCGCATGTCGCTGCGCTGAAGGGCTCACGCTATAGGGTGCTGGATGAGGACGGGTACGATGCACTAGCCCCAGCCGTCGGGGGGGTGTTGCCGGCGCTGGTAGATGATCTCTCGGAGAAGAGCCGGAGGGACCTTGGCGCCGGGGTCACGAGGAACTTGCAAATCGTGGCGGAGGCGGCGACGGGGGCGGTGCAGAGGTGGATCCAGCTCAACGATGAGGCTACGGCGCGCATAATGAAGAGAGAGGAACACATTGAGTGGCTGAGGAAGCTCTTCAGATCACTGGGTGGAAAGAGGCTCGGCCGGCCTTGAGGGAGTCGCGGAGGAGGAGGGATAACGCAGGCAACGCAGGGACGGGCCAACAGCCAGTGGGACGAACGAGGGCCGCGACGGCGGCTCAAGCGGGAGGGAGCGGAGACGGTGGGCAGCGAGCGAAGTGGGTGAGACTGATGATGCTCCTTCGACTTAGGGAGCGGTTCAGCTGCTGGGCGGGCTTCAGGCTGGTGCTCACGCGAAAAGGAATCGACGCGATGTACAAAGCATACAAGAAGGGGAGAAGGAAGAGGAGAGACGCCAGTGATGACGAAGCAGAAACTAGCGCAGACGAGAGCAGGGCAGAGCCAGGGACTGGGGAGCCGGAGCAGACGGCATCGGCCGCCGAGGGAACGTTGGGAAGAGGCACGAGGAGGGCGGCGACCTCGACCGACTATGGAGGACCCGTCGCCAGACGACGCAGGGCAGAAGACGGTGAGGCGGAGCAGACGCGCAGGGCGAGACGAGGGAGGGAGCAGGACTTTGCGGAGATCAGCAGGAGGATGTACGAAGAGATTAGGAGCAGCAGGGACCCGAGGGACCATGTGGAAGACGGCTAGTGCTAGTCCCCCATCGGGAGGACGACCCCGGCTAGTCGCCGACCACACCCACAAAGAACCCTGCACAAAGATCGCAAGGGCGGGGGCCTGTTCCTTTTTACCCATCTCACAGTAGAGAGGTGTCCGTTTTTATTTATTTATTTGTCCTCACTCAGGGGGGTGCCACAACTACCCCGAGTCCCTCGACTAGCTGCCACGTTGCCGACCGAGAGCGGATCTCCTCCTGCTCCGCAAGGAGGGTGGCCAAGGCTAAAGTCTTGCCGGAGCCGCCGGGCGCGTTGACGACTTGGAGAAGGTCGCCCTTGTACTTGTGCTTGTAGAGATGCTCGAGGGGGTGCTTAGTGGGGCGGTGCGCAGCCAGGCCAGCAGTGAGGGGAGGCGCACCCTCACTCTCCTCGGTTGCAGAGCTCGTCGGAGGCTGCGTCACGACGGGAGGGTCGCGACAGCAGTCCTCGGGCGAGCCGACGCGCATGTCCAACCAGCGCTGGGACTCGTTGTGACGGCAGACGCCAGCTGCCTCTCCAACCGCTTCTGCAGCGTCCTTCTTTGCCCGTGCATGGGCTCGATCCGATTCCGCAGCGTGTCGTCCCCAGCGGCGGTGCTGCGCGGGAGGCGGCCGCGGGCACGCTGGGCTCGATCAGCTTTCCCTAGCACGGATTTGGCGGACGTTCGTGGCTTCAATTTTACTAAGGGCGTAGACCATTTTACGTTTGTCTTCGCACCAGCTGAAGGCTTGCACGGCGGACATCGCCCAGTTCGTGCACGGTATTCGGATTTTGGCTATTTGCTCGTGTGGGGGTATATTGCAGATTTGTCAATGGTACCGCGTCTGCGACGCGGGCGCCTTGCGAGCAGAGCCCTTAGGACACCCTTTATATCTTGCGCGGTCAAAAGGTGCGATCCGGTTCCGCTTCGCGAGTCATGAAATAGTCTTCCCTGACCCCGCCCCCGCCGGCCGCCTGCCCTGCCCGCCTGGCCGACAAGATCTCTTCACCTTCTCATTGGTTGAGTACGTCTGAACCACAGCGTGTCCCGACTCGACCGCCGGCGTCCCGGTCCGGGGGTGTTTCTCTTCTTATCCGTTACCATGTAGAGCAAGGCCGAGGGCGGGCCCTTTCGGGCTCGGGCCGCCCTCTCGCCCGCACCTCTGCGGGGCTTGCACGTGGCAGCGGCGGCTCAAGAAGCGGCACGCCTCGGCGCCGCGAGAGAGCAGCCGGTCGACGTCGGCCAGACGTCGGCACCAAGCGCGCGGCCGCCGGGCGCCTCCGAACCGGCAGGGGCGCCGCGGCAGTAGAGAGCACTCCACCCGCCATTCCGTTTTTCTGGCGGGTCCACCTATGAGAGCCTGGCGGTTGCGTTTAAAAATTCGTCTTGTCCTTTCGCCTGCGGAAACGACCAGGGCCCCCATTCCCCCCCGGGTTTCAAATAAGAGAACTCCGGAAGCTCGGTTGCCCCCTTCAGACAGAGGCCCCCTGGGCAGGGCTTTTTCGTTTTCCCAGAGACCCCCCCGAAGGTTACGGCCCCGGACTGGGGGAGCCCCCCCCCCCCCCCCCCCGCCTCCTCCGTCCCGGCCTTACACACGTGGCATTCACAACGCCTTGCACCCGGCCCGCGGCCGGCTCCGCCTCGCCTCACCACTGACCGCCCTGCGGCCCCTGCGCAGGCGTTCCTTCGACCTCGCTCAAAGCGACGCGTCGGGTCTGCTCCCTTGCCCCGTCACCCGCCGCCCCCTCGCCGGCCGCCTCTCCGCGCAATGATCGCTTTTTGAGAGGATCCTTTTGGCTTAGCTATAACACAGGTTTTTCTGGCCCGTAAAAAGAAAGAAAGAAAACTGGCCCGTAGAGGTGCACTAAACACGTTTTTCTTCTTCTCATCTCATGCATGTGTGTGTCGGCCATCGACTGACTAACTGGACCGACCCTCCACGATGTCACAGCTCGCCGACTACCGCCTCCTGGGCGAGCTAGGCTGCGGATCGCTCGGCCGCGTGCTCCTGGTGCGGCTGCAGTCGAGCCGCACCCTCCGCGCGATGAAGGTCGTCGAGCGCGGCCAAGTGTCAAGCGCCAAGCAGCTCGCGCAGCTCGAGGCGGAGGGGGAGGTGCTCGCGGCAATCTCTCACCCGTACATCGTCAAGCTGTACCACACGATACGTGACGCGGCGTGCAACTACTACGTCCTCGCCTATGCCGCTGGCGGCGACCTGATGGCGCTCATTCTCCGCAACGGCCGCATCGACGAGCCCGCCTCGCGGGTCGTCGTCGGGTCGCTCGTCCTCGCCCTGCAGGCTGCCCGCGCACGCTCTCTGCGGCCCGCTCCCCTCTCGCCGTGGCGCCTCGCGCCCACACGGCCTCCGCCTCGCCCTCGGCAGCCTTTCGGGCGCGCGTGCCGCGACAGTCAGACTGTCGCGCCGCGGCGGGAAGCCCCTACCCTAGGGTCCGTCCCCATCCGCCCCCGCCGCCCCACGCGAAGCCCCCTCCCCCCCCCCCTTCAGCACCTCCACGAGGAGTACTCGGTCGTCTACCGCGACGTCAAGCCGGAGA